GGCCACGATCACCGCATTCTATCCACCAACATGGTTCCAACAATGACCGTGCAGATCCATGCTGTTCGAAGAAAGACGCCACCAGTTTGCGCCAGGCCATTGGCGCGTCATCCACACCGCTCAGGAATGTCGATCGCCTCGCGCAGTTCGAAATGCATCTCTGCCTGGGATCCAGACGTGGTTGTCGGCCAGCAGACCGACATTCAGCGCCGCCTGCAGAAACGCCGTAATGCGCGACGTCTGCGTCGTGGGAGCGTAGACCGAAATGGACCTCCAGTCCGGATCCACAAGCGCGCCCTCCATCGGCTTCCACCGCCAGACCATGCTGCTGGCGATGACTCGATCGGGCTGCGCCCGCCGAGCCGCCCCCGCCTTGGCCGCAGAAATTGCCTTCGCCGCTCCCTTGCCTAACGTGGACTTCCACTCCGCGGCATCTGGGCAGAAGCCTTGAGAGGCACTTCTCCGCCTCTGTGCGGCGAAGGTGCCGCTGTCTCTCGCCGCGGCCCCCGCCCAGCTCTGCTGCCCCTCGCGCTCCTTGGAGCTTCCAGCCCGGGCATGGATGGCGCCGCCGCCTACCGGGAGGAGGTGCAAATCCTCGATCCTCTCCTCTTCCCCGTCCTGCCTGCGTCCTGCAAGCGCCTCCCGACATGGGGGGCGAAAACGGCCCGGGCGAGGCCATGGCCTCGAGTTCCCGCGCCAGGTTGCGCGCGGAGCGACGAAGGATGCCGCCCGTCGAGGGTCGGTCGCCTCCGGAGGCGGCTGGGGGGCCTGGGCGAGGGGGGCCGGCAGGAGGAACAGGAAAAGCAGGATCGGGCCCGGGAGGGTCGGGTGGCCCATCCACCCGCGGTCTCTTGAACACTGGGAATTTGTCGCTGGCTCTCGGACGGCCCGCCGTGGGACCGGCCGCGGGCGGCCGGAAGCGCAGCGGAACGTCGGCGGCCCAAGGTCGAGGGGCCTCGCGGTCGACCCTAAACCCCTCCGCTAGGGAGGAAAGGGAAAGGGGGCAGGAGGAAACGAGACAGGAGGACTGGCTTCCAGGGGCGGGCCGCGAGCGCTCCGAACAGCCTGGGGGTCCGAGGGGGGTTGCTCGGATGTCTGCCGAGGTCCGGAGGGTGCGCCGTCGCTCTCGACCGGGGGGGGCGTCGTCCGAAGGGGCCCGCGCGCCCTCTGAACCCGCCCGAGCATCTGCGTGATCCAGCCTCGGATTCGGATCGTCTTCTTCGGGCCCCGGGGCCGGCCCTTAGCCCAAGAGGGCCCGCGGCAGGGGTGACGGGGGGGCCAGACTGTCCGACATGGGGGGTTCTCCCTCGGCGGGGGCGGCCGCGCGAAACCTGGGAACCAATGGGGGCTCTGTCCAAGTCCTGACTGGCGGCTTGGTCCCAGGCGTCCTCTGGGGGAAGCCTTTCGCGTTGGACGTCCACCGCGGTGGCCCGTCGAGTAGTAGAAACCTGACGGAGCAGCTCTTGCCGCTGAGGGGTACTGGCCAGTTGGAGACCGAATTCCTCGTCCGTGCTCGCAAGCCTCGCATGCTCAACCGATCACTTTCACAAACGAGCCCGCGTGGCTACTCGCGGGGTGCCCCCCATCGGCCATCGCAACCACGCGCGGGCCGGTCCAACCGTATCTTCTCCGCCCTAGCGTGTCGGCCTGGGATGAGGCGCGGGGCACGTGGCGCTAGACGTAAACCCACTGGCCAGGGGTGAACGCTCGGAGGGCCGGCGTTCGGGCCCTCGAAGCAAAGGCTAATCATCTCGCGAGCAGTCGCCTCCATGGCTAGACGCCTCGCTGAAGCGCGGACAGTTTGCGCCCTCAAAAACTCAGCTCCGGCCCCATCTTGCGGCAGCCTTGGATTTTCGCAGAAGATCAGTGGAGCTGCGAAAACCCTGCCCGGTACCAGAATCGATTCTGATGGGCGGTTAGCTCGTGAACAAGCGCGTCCAGCTCTTCCAAATCGGCGGGGGCCCCGGGGCCTGAATCCTGCTCGAGCTCGAGGCGATCTTCGATCCGCCCGCCATGCCTCTCGCAACGGCCATTCTGCTAGGGGGGGGGGATCCAGGTCGCAGACATAGCGATTAATTTCCAAACCCGTGGCGAAACAGACCCCGGACTCGGATCCTCCGTCGGAGAGAGTTGGAAGTGCGGGGCCCTCATAGTCAGATCCAGCAAGTCACAAATCCGGCCCAGACGGTCACAGCACGAGCGTCGGCTATCCTCGCGTAAACCTGCAGGTTTGAACCATGGCCAACCACGTTGGTAAACGGGGCAGACGATCCCTGAAACTCTAGATAGAACAGATCGATGGCGACGATGCGGTTGAATCTGAAGGTCCTGGGAAGGGCCAGCTGGACATGAACTCCCGAACGCCGTTGCGCCTCACATTCGGAACACCTGAAGGAGCGGCATACCCACCTTACTAGCTCTCCAGATGAGCCTTCACCCGCCCAGCACGCAGGACTCGACCGAATTCCCTGTTGCCTGCGCGCCTCACGTTAAAATGTAAATTTAAAAGTAGCCTCTGTTCATTATCGCCTGGCTCTGGGTCTCCAGACTTCGCGCCTGGAAAGGGTGCCTGGGACCTATGGTCGGGTCTCTTGATCGTCGCCGCTGTGTCCGCTCATGTCTTCCTCCCGGGCTTCCGCGATGGTCGGCAGGCGATCTGCCTCCGCCTCTTCCTCGGGCAGGGTCTGGTCGTCGAGCTCCGCCCGCGCGGGCCAGGCCTTGCTGGGGGCCCCACCCCGTTGCTCGGCTATGGCCCTCGCGGCAATCTTGACAAACGCAGTGGGCATGGGGGTGATTGGACAGTGGCCCCTCTGGCTTCTTGTTCAACCCGCGAGAGTCAACCTGTAGGTCGAAGGTGCACGTGTCCACCCTTAGCTTCCTGACTCCGGGCCGGGACGCCAACGGTCGCGCCGCCTCAATTTCCCAGAAACTCGCGTAATGGGGGGTGATCAAAAACGGACTGCCGGCCATGGGCGCGTTGACGCAGCGCTACTCCCATGCGAAAGGAAAAGTCCCGGACGGAGGCCTTCCGTCACTTCCTGGTGCAACTGCTTGGGGCCCCGCCGGTGCTTGCCAAGCCTGTTGGTTGCTGAAAAGACTTGGCGCTCTGAGCTCAGCCGCGTCGCCCCAGGTCGATCGCGATCGATCTGGTCCCGCACCTCTACAACGCCGCCAGGATTTGACGAGTGCCAAATCGTCGGCCGATCGACGCTGGCATCTTCCCCTACAGTGGGCCCTTGCCCCTGAACCTCCGGGGCGATGCGGGGCGGAAAGAAGATCTCGAGAAGGGCCGTCTTGGCCCGACCGCGGGAAACGCGCGAGGCGGAGAAATCTCCGCTGACCTCGTTCTGACCGCGCGCCCCTCTCGAGACAGTTTCTCGCTCCAACGCCTCGCCGCGGACTGGGCCCAGGCGGCGCCGCGGTCGTCGTTGAACCGATCTCCGCTCAGCCAGAAAGCCTCCAGGCCCCTGAGGTCCTGAGCGCCGACCAGAGTCGAGGCGGATCCGTCGGCGGCGTCGAGCGCGCGACTCCTGGGGGGCAGGCCCTCGGCAAGAGACAACCCCGACGCCGAACGCGCTGGCCTGGGGGGCGGACGCCCCGCCCGCCATACCACCTGGCGTAGGCTTAGGGCCGGGGAGATTTTGAGGAGAGGTCGAGAGAGAGGCATCAGCATCGATGGATTCGGCCTCGGCGCGGCACGCGCGCCCCGAAACGCTGGCCATCAGTTCCGGCCCAGAAGTCCTGACTCGGGATCCTTGCCCGGCCTTGCCGACGGTCGCCTCGCTGATCAGATGCTGCTCAGATCATCACCGCTGATCCTCCACGACCTTCCACGACGCGCCCTGATCTCCCGGCCCCGTTGACGGTGTAGCCGTCGTCGTAGTCTGGATCATCGCGTCGGCCCCGTCGGCGAATGCTGCTGGCTGTTGAACGGGCAGATAGGTCCATGTGCCGCTGTTGCTGCCAGTGCTCGCCATCATCTGCTGATTCACATAGCCCGCCAGGGCCGTCACCGACGTCTCGTTTTCACCGTCATGCCCGCCAGCTGGTCCAGCGCATTGCCCATGCTCGTCATCTCGATGCGCATCGTAATCATCTGGTCGGCCAGGGAGTCCATCGGGTCGCCGAATTGCACGGGGGGCCCCATTGTCCGGCGAATGTGAGACGACTCCTCGATGAATCTGCATGAGGCCCCCCCCGACCTGCATGCTGCCGCCTACCTGCGCTGACGTGATCAGCTCGAGCACGCGGTGGACTGTGTCCTGCGCGTGCCCGATGGCCAGCAAGCCGTCCGGGGTGCCCTGAAGCTATCACCGCGGCGCCTGCATCATCGCCTGCAGCCTATAGTGGCGATGGTCAACGCCGCGCCGTCGTGGAAGCGGCCGTCCGGCCGAAGCATCTCCACGGTCTGCTGCGCCAGAGCTCGCATGGGGCCGAATGCCTCGGCATTCCTTTAGTTCTACCACGCAATGCTCTTAATAACCCCAGCATGTTCGAATGGCAAAGCAACGTTCTTAGAACATAAACGATGTGATAAAACAAGACCATCCGAGCCAGAAGTGTTCTAATACAATTTCGTGGAAACCGCACTCGGTTTAAGAAGACTGTTTGGTCGGGCCACTGCTAGAAAAGAGGCTGCCGCCGCTTGGAGAGGCGAGCCAAGACGCTTCGCCATTGTTTGACAAGCGGCTGCCCGCCTGGCTGCCTGGGCGGTCGAACTCGCGCGGCTCGTTCCGGTCGTTGTTGCCTCTCGCCTTTGGGGGCCCAGCGAAGCCGTTCGCCGCGACTCGTGCAACTGCTGCCTCAGCCGCGCTGGTTCCCGCGGCGCCTGATCGTGTCCTCGGAAAGCGGACGCGACGAGACTGGGGCGAACGGAGGCGGCTTGACCGGGGCCTCTCGGTCCGCGGCTGGCTGCGTGGCCCACTAGGACGGTGGAGTGACTCGCGGTTTGGGCTTGGGAGGAGGACCTGTCGGCAGAAGCGGCGGCGGCCCAGTCGGCGATCCGTCGGGCCCGAGGGCGGGCATCCCCGTCGCCCCGGCCGCTACAGCCTGAATCGTGAGAGCCATAGACCCGCAACTGTCGTCGCCCCTGCCGTCGGGGGACCCTCGGGTGTCCATGGCAGTGGCCGCCTGGGTCGGAGCGGTAGCCTCGTCGGGGCCTCCACCCGCTTGGACAGCTGCCGCTGCTTGCTTCGCCGCCTCGGCCAGGTTGGCCAGCGTCCGAGACCGATGCTGACGGAGGAACTCGGCCATCTCGTCCGCCGCTTTCGGCTGGGTCCTCTCCTTCTTCGGTCCGCACAGCACCTGCGTCACTAGGAGCGTCGCTCAAGAAATCTGCGTGATCGCCCGCGTTGTCGCAGCGAGCGCGGGTAGGACTGCGCCCCCTGTCTCAGGCTGGGTAGTCTGGGAATCGTGAACGGCTGCGAACTCTTGAGCCTAAACGTGCTACGGAAAGTAAGACGCCCTGGCTGTTCCTGGCCTGGTTCGCCCGCCATCTTGCTGCCTTAGCTGGACTCCGAGGTCCAGTGCCGCGCTGATCACGTGGGCGGGGCCGCCGATCCCGCGGGCTCCCCAAGAGGTTGGATATTCCTGAGGACCCTCGACGTACTGCATGCCTAGCTCGGCCGATGCTGCTGACTCTCAGTTGAATGCCTGCCCGCCAGATCACTGCCTGCCTCTGGGCCCACACGGCCCCAGGTAGCCTTCGAGGCCAAGAACGTGGCCTCGTGCTTGATCTCGTGCTCGGCCTCCTTCCAGGTGGACAGGGCCTCCGGGGTGGCTGCCTTCTCCCCGGGGAGGTCCGTGGCGCCGACGAAGGTGCGCGCCGACATCCCCTGGCGGGGCCCGCCTTCGCGTCCAGGGGCGCTGGGTCACTCGCGGCCCCAGTGGCCCTTCTGGTGACTGAGCTTGCACTTGATCGATCGTGAGGCGCGGTCTCCTGGGGCCTCGGTCGCCACTTCGCCCGGCGGGTTGACCTCGACCTCGAACGGGCCGTCGGTCGCCATGGGGCCGCGGCGGTGGCCGCAGGCGGGCAGCTTGGCGGTCCCGTCAGCTGTCGCGCTGTTGGCCAATGGAGGCCGCCCTTCCAGCAGTAGCCGCTGGTAGGGCGTTTCCTTGCGCAGCCGAGACCCATTTCACCGTCGCCTGTCACTGTTGACATTGGCTCGCATCGGTTCTTGCCTTGTCTTGACCTCCTCCCCATCCTCTCCCCCTCCTCCTTTCTCCCCCTCCTCCTCCTTCTCCTCCTCTTCCTCCTCCTTCTCCTCCTCCTCACCCTCCTCTTTATCCCCCCTCCTCCTCCTCCTCCTCCTCCTCCTCCTCCTCCTTCTCCTCCTCCTCCTCCTCCTCCTCTTCCTTGTCCCCCTCCTCTCCCCCTCCCTCTCCCCTCTCATCCGTTCCGCCTGACTCCCCTGCACCTCCACCTTCATCTCCTGCCCCTCCAGCTCACCCTCTCCGCTCGCCTCCACCCAAATATGATGACTCTGCTGAACGACGCGGTCGACCACAAGATCGGCGGTCCCTGGGTCGGAGTGGGCCAGCCGGGAGGCTGCACCAGCTCTGTCGGGCTCGCCTCGAGTGCATCTGCACGCCGCGCCTACGCGCCCCATGGAGCATGGCACACCCTCCACCATTCGCTGCCCGCCTTTCCAACCCCCACCCCTGTTTAGGGGCAGCGCTAAGGGGCGACTGGAATCGGCGATACATCGACGATTGATCGGCGATAGGCCCCCGATAGCGAAGCCGCACCTTTCTTGGCGGGATGGGCTATCAGGCCCCTTTCCGCGATGCATGGGCGATTGGAGATCGATGCATTCATCCCCCCTGAGCCCGCTCCCTCCCCCCCATGCGTTGCCACTGACCTTGCCATCGTCGCTCGGACGCCCATTCCGCGCGCACTGTTTGACTTCGTGCGTGACTGTGTTTCCTGCGATGGTCCGAGATGCTCCAACGCGGTGCACATGCTCTGGCGATGGCCTCGCCGATCACATGCACACGCCCGAGCGATGCCAAGGCCACCTTGGAGGCGGCTGGGGGGTCTGACCAGGGTTGGGGCCCGAGGAAATTGGCCAAGAGCGGGGTCCATCTGCTGCAGCTTGTGACTACCTACCAGACCACCCCTAACCCAACCCGAAGACCCGAATTTCGGGTTGGGGGGGGTAAGGCTTCCACATGTGTTTTTTCAATGTTTCCCGACCCCCCCCCACTGGAAATCGAGGGTAAATCTGAGCCTTCGGGTTGGGTTGGGGTGGTTTGGTGGGTGGTGAGCCTGGATCCGTTCTTGACGGCGCCCTGAGACCGAGGAAGGCAGCAAGAGCCTTCGCGAGCCCAACACCTCGAGCCTGCCCCCTCCTCCTGGTCGCCGGAGCCGTTGCTTGGCTTGGGGTCGACGGCATCGAGGGTTGAGGCGGTGGAGGATCGAGGAGGAGGAGGAGGAGGAGGAGGAGGAGGAGGAGGAGGAGGAGGAGGAGGAGGAGCAGCAAGTCCCAGGGTGGGACCGGATGACGCGACAGGGCATTGAACAAGCCGTCCTAGACGTCATTCTGATCATCAATTCTGGGCGCGTGGCTGTTGATGTCAGCGTCGCCGAGGCACCTTCTGCCGACAACGCCACAGCGCGGGCACGGGCGCGGGCCGACGGGGCAGCGGCGCGCGAGCGCGAGCAGGAGAAGCACCGCCGTTACCCAGGGCCAGGCCTGGTTGCGGCCGCGCTGGAAACTGGCGGCTGGATGGGCCGCGAGTTCCGGGCGTTCCTGCGGGCGCAAGCGCCCACGGACGCGCGGCGCGCTGCCAGCCTGGCAGATGTCCGCCAGCGGCTGTCCGCCAGATGCGCGCTGCAGCGGGGCGTGGCCGCCATGCTGCTGGGCAGCGCGGGGGCCCAGCCGCGGCCGTGGCGGACGTCCTGCCCGGCCCTGGCGACGGGCGCAATGAGGCGTCGACGCCGCATCTAGTTTACTACTTAGTAACCTCTTCTCCCTCTTTCCCCTCCTCCGCCTCCGCCTCCGTCCTTCTCCTCCTTCGCCTCGCTCCTCCGTGGTCGTTTTGGCTGCTCTTCCCTCCGTAGTCGTTTTGGCTGCCAGTGCCGCCCCTGTGCCTTTTCACTCGCTTCTCTCCCTCCCTCCCCTCTCCTCTCCTGCTCCTTGCCTCCGGCGGAGGTGCGCGGCGCCTAACGGTGTGGTTCGGTGGCGCACGCCACACGGCCGCGGCCCCGTCTCCTCCGTCTCCCGGTCCCTCCTGGCTCCCTCTCCCCCTCCCCTCTGCCTCGCCGCTGCTGCTTTTTAGGGGTGGGCCCTGTCGCCGGCGCCCGGGTGGAGTGGCGCCCTCCACCCCGGGTGCTGAGAAACATTCCGGATGGGCACACCCCTTCCTTGTTCGAGCGTTTGCTTCTGCTGCCTCTCGCCCGCGTGTCTCGCTCGGGGCCCTTCCTGTCCCTCGTGGGTGCTGCTTCAGGCTTGTTCCCAAGATCTGGCGGGGCCCCGGATAAGAGCTGCGTCGGCTGCGCACGGCGAAGCTTTTTCTGGGCCGGCTTCAACACGGGGCCGGCCCGCGGTGGCGTGAAGGACGTGGACAGGGTCGCTGCAGGCAGCCCCTGCAGAGCCGCCGGGTCCGCCATGGCCGCGGGCGGCGAAGAGGAGGAGGAGGAGGAGGAGGAGGAGGAGGAGGAGGAGGAGGAGGGCAAAATGAAGGAGGAGGAGGGGGAGGAGGAGGAGGGAGGAGGAGGAGGAGGAGGAGGAGGGTCGGGGAAAATGAGGGAGGATCGAGCAGGACGAGGCGGAGGAGGAGGGTCGAGGAGAATCAAAATGGGGCAGGAGCATCGGCGCACATCGAGGGGGAGCCTCGCGGGGGCGGGGGCCTCCCCCTCTCCGCCCCACGCTGCGACGGAGCGGCCCCGCCCCTCTCTCCCGAGCAGCTCCCCCGGCGGGCGCCTCGAGGGCGCTGGAGCGCTGGCGCGCCGCCTCCACCCTCTCGGCCCAGGCGGCGTTCGCCTCGAAGTCCTCCTCCTCCTGCCTCCTCCTCGATCCTCCTCCTCGATCCTCCTCCTCCTCCTCCTCCTCCTCCTCCTCCTCCTTCTCCTCCTCGAATTCCTCTTCCACCCTCTCGGTCCAGGCGGCGTTCGCCTCCTCCTCCGCCTCCTCCTCCTCCTCCTCCTGCCTCCTTCTTCTCCTGCGCCTCCACCGTGTCCTCCTCACGTTCCGCCTCCTCTCAGAGGAACAAGAGACTGCATACACATACACTTCCGCAGCTGCGCGCGGATTTTCGGATCGGCGCTGGATCCCCCTCCCAAGCGCGCGGAGCGCGCCAGGGGCGGCGCCGGAAGCGCCGCATGGGGGGGCCCAACGCAAATTTCAGAAATCCGCGAGGGACGCCGAACATTTATGTGTATGCCGGTTGTTCTTCCTCGATCCTCCTGGACTTGCCATCGCTCGGACGCCGGCCGGCAGGCAGCTTACATTGTTTGATTGCGTAGCGTGTTGTGCACAATGCGCAGCACTTCATATACATCTATCCATATAGAACGACTACATATACATGGAATCAGGCTGAGTTTTTACGCGCAGCGGTGAACCGTTGTACACAACAAGAGTTACACACTACACGGTTTATATCACATGCATGATACATGCATACACATTTACATGCGTGTGCGTGTATATCCATGTGCATGGACATATATATGTATATACACATGTGTGTATACATGTATATACATATGTTTGTGTGTGTCTATGTGCACGGGTGGCCCACGCTCATGCGCATGTGGGCGCACGGGCGCACCGTCGCAAACAGGAATGCACAGCGACACTTCGTACTCCCTTGTTTTTGAACACGAGCAAATTAAAACAACTTTACAGCAACATGCACTAACACCCAAAGCACAAACACGAAGCCACTAATTCACGCACCAACGCAATAAGCTAACAACGGACACGGTGCATTTTATACAAGGACAGGGGGGAAAGACATAGTAGGACGCAGCACGTACCGCGACAACTTTCAGAACACAAACGAAATCAACAACCACTGCACTGCTACACTCGTATGTAATACGTAACATGGTCCCAAAATTCTGCGCAAAACCACTGGGGTACTATGTACGATGAACTGGTGGGGTACGGCGTACTGTACCACTGTGTAACCGTGTGCCCGGGCACCGGGACACTACGGATCAGGGTGCCAGGGGCGAATGGGCCCTGTGGGCTGCCCGTCATTTGCCTCGCGCTGCGTGGGGGGATACGTTGCAATTGAAGGAAGCACTTCCCTCCCAAAACCGCCAAGAATGCGAGCACCGACGGTTGCCGACGTTCGCATCGACGCGTCAGGCGAGGACCCAACAACGTTGACAACTCACTTGGGCAAAACCATCGTTTTTCTCAAATCACCCAGGCGAAATCAACGACTACGACATCATCGGAAACGGATATGAGCCTCTCTCCACGATTTGGCCAGAGCGCGGCTTCCCACTCTGTGTCGCGCAACACGATCACACACACAACGAAAAACTCGACGCGCCAACACAACAAACAAATCGTCGAGACAAACCACCAGTGCAACATCGAGACGTACCCAAACAATCTTGTTTTGCGTGGTGCAACAAGGGATGTTCGTCTCAACTATGGTTCTGGGAAATGCGGATGGCCAAAATAACCGCAAGCGCTGTGGGTTGTTAGACCCCCCCATTCGTCGGAAACTAATTACCTGCCCGGCGACCTTATTAACGGACCAAGGCCCCGCAAATTGTGGAACATTTGTTTTCTACGCGGTGCCCGCCGCGCAACAACGACGACGACTAGGACTGCGCTTGCGAATAAATCCCCGATGTGACTAGGGCATCGACTGCGACTACGACTACGAGTATTTCGCAAACCCGACTACTATCATGACTACGAGACTACGACTGTGACTACGACAACGACTACGACGGCTACCACTACAGTGCGGGCGCAGCCGCAAGGAACCCTCGCAAGAAACCCAACCCTGAGAACCCGTGCGCCAGGTGCACCTGAGG